TCACCATCGTCGTCATAATCGTCATCATCATCACAATCGTCGTCATAATCGTCATCATCATCATCATCATCGTCATCATCATCATCATCATCATCATCATCATCATCATCGTAATCATCACCGTCATCCCCCCATGTTGGACTGCTATCAAAACAAGAGCGAGCAGCGCGTGGGGGCGCCACCCTCGTGATAGACGACGACACATGCCCGCCAACATTATATACAGTAAACGAAAAAAATTAAAGCATATTCAAATCCGTACCGCTCGGCCGCCATACGAAACGCAAGCTGGATAAACATATAGATACACAAGAGCTAATAAGTAGAGGTATTATTGACTCTTGATATACGTAGCATGGACGCGCGTGCGCGTGCGGTTCACAGGTTACGTCATACGGGCATGTCAAGGTCAGACGAATGACGCCATTTGAATAAGGTTGTCCGCGTAAAGGGTGACAGAATGACGTCATCAGAAGGTCGACAATACAGACACGTTACACAACAGGTTTATAAATTTTGACCGAATCGTAGCAAATATAGATAACCCACTCTCGATGACGTCACCGATATCGCGTCATCGTCTGCTGTTTACAACAAACGCGCGCCAACACGGAGTCTCACGAAACCTTACAAATACAGCGCGAAAAACAAGAGTTCACAGCCAAGACGTATTTACGATCTTCGCCCGAGCTGAACCTTTGTAATAACCATACTATCAGGAGCTAATAATGACAAAATTTGTCATTATTAGCTCCTGATACTATGATTATTACAGTGTATTGCGACGTGAAATTAGCGCAGGTAAACACCATGATAACAGCATACATGTAGCACACAGCACATGGGGGGCGGGAAACAGACAGCGCTGACAGCATACAACGCGATAAGAAAGGTTAGAGACGCAACGATTGTTACGCAAACGTAAGAAAACAAGGCAAAACGAGGCCGGCAACACGCTAACGTGTCCTGCGCGCCCGTGGAAATTATTCACTTACAATTGAAACGAACTGGGATTAAAATAAAAATTCACTATTCAGTGCATCTCGAACTAAGCAGATATAGCGGTTGCTATCTCTCTCTCTCTCTCTCGCAAGGGTGCGTGACCACAGCGTAGAGATGCACAGAGACTTACGCTACCAGAGATAATAATAACCTATGAGCAAAAACAGTGTTATTGTTTTTAGATCGTCGATATCAAAACAGAGACCTGAAATACGTTCGTAACTAAATAGACTCACCAGTCTGACATAATCTTGCCAGCCAGGCATAATCTTGGCAGATACAATTTGGCCAGTAGGCATAAACTTGCCAGGTGTCAGAAATAGACGTAAAACCTTCTACGTAATCTGCAAGAAGTGCGAAATAAATATCGACTGAGCTATTCTCCTCTGCGATCGTACCCCGACGACCCAACATCTCTCTGTAAGAATAGCTCCTGAATACAAGTATAAATTCTCTATATAAGTGGTTCTCAACCTTTTTTCAGTCATGGACCCCTTTGAGAATCTGGTTAAAGTTACGAACCCCTCCCCAAAAAAATACACATAAGCAAATAAACACATTTATGCATACAATGGGGTTCACGGTCCCCAAAAGCGTCCATGGACCACAGGTTAACGTTAAGAACCTATGCTATATATCATTTTTTTATCACCGTTCAATCACGTGAATCTGTTCGCTACGTTCATATCGCACTGATCGATATATAATGCCGCATTAGTCGTCAAATAGCTATCTGCAGGAGCAAGATAATAACGCTTAACAATTATGTATGTTATTATTTCACGCCTGTTATTATTATACAAGGATCAGTGACTACACTACTACAGTCTACGCACGCGGGTTATCGCAGGGGAGGCAAGAATTATTACCTCCCACCACGTTACAGTGTACACACAACCAATCAACACAATCATGGATAAATTCGAGATTAGAATCAACGGCATTCGCTTATCAGCGAGATAAGCAAATGTTAAATTATATTAGCGTAATGAGCGAACGAACGCGCGCCGCTCTCGCCATCGTCTGCAAAACTCAACATGGGTAATATATGCGATTGTTGCGCCATCTATGGTACAAATCTTCAACAACTGGTTTGCTGTTTAATTACCATCAAAATCTACTGCGCCTCACTAACAACTTACCGATCACGAATACAGATCAGGATTAAACAACGCGGAAATATCTCCATTAATTATACGCCCTGTGTATACGCGGCAATACGATTAGTAGAACACAGATATATAAATGCTGAAAACCCCAACGTACAAACGCAGTTGTGAATCCCCAAGAAAACGATAATAAATACTTGACCGGCTACATATCTGCTCTTAACGCCATATATACGCATTAACTACCGTTTGATGTATACGCACATTGCATTTACTATAGACGATATAAAACTCGTGTAGGAAAAAAAAGGACATCCGTAGCAAATCCGCACTTATGTACACACGGTATCGCTCGACCGCCGGTGCATGCATATAAAACGTTCAAGTGCGCGCGCGAAATCACTTCACGGCGTCGCCAATTCATGACGTCACCACTTCATGACGTCATTATACGATGACGTCGCCGGACGGGCGCCAGCAAGCCGAAGCAATGCCAGTACGCACGCAGCGTGCCAGGCCCGGCCGCAGAAGCACCAGATACATATCTATGAAGCGCGCGTATGAATGCCAGGATGGAAAGCGCTGGCTGCAGGCTCCGGCTGTGCCTCTCCAGAGCCGTGGGCGACACGGAGAGTTCACTTCGTGACTGTAGTTCATAATCGGACGTGATCCGCGCGTCATGTCACAACTGGCTCGTCGCAAAACGCTTCTTTCCCGCATCTATATCACAACGAACACGAATATAGACGCAGCAGCAGCACTAACAGCAGCAGCAGCAGCTACAGCTACAGCTACAGCTACAGCAGCAGCACTAACAGCAG